CGGGCCCCGCGGTGGGGAAGGACGGGGAAGAGGAAGGGCTCGGAGGGAGCCCGTGGGCCGGGCGGGGTGAGGAGGTGCCGCCTCGGCGGGGGCCGCCCCGGCCCTGGGCAGCCGGGACAGGCCAGGGCAGCCCCAAGGGACTGGGGGGACGCTCAGGGGTCCCACCCGAGCGCAGCCGGAGATGTGGAGGGGGAAAATCCATGCGCGCAAGAAGCGGAGGGCAGCAGCGGCCCCTCGGCCCTGCCTGGCACAGAGTGCTCGAGGGGCACAGAAACCATCTTGCCAGCTAGCAAGGAGCAGGCCGGCTCGGCATGCAGCTGCGACATGCACCCACTGCCTCCGCAACTGGCTGCCCCCCCAAGTCCTGCAGCCTCAGATGTGGCCGCTGTGCCAGAGCCTGCAGGTCCCCCCTGCCCCGCTCAGTCCCCTAAAGGGTGACACTCCTGCACCCAGCTTGGAAGGGACCCAAACTCTTACCCTCCCCGCCGGTCTCTTCTCCTCTCTCGACCATCCCTGGCACCCAGGGGTCCCCACCAGGACTCCCAAGCCTCCGAACCAGGGCATCTTTATCGCAGCCAGAGCCCAGCCCCTTCTCTCCCGGAAGACAGCTTTGTGGTGGCAGCCCCCCTTCCTCTGCATCCCCCGGCTGCCCCTCCGCGATGGGCTGCAGTCCTGGTCGGGATCTCCTCCTCTTCAGCTGGTGGCTGTCCATAGATGCCAGCAACTGTCCACCCAGAGGCACGGGTGGCACCCAGCCTAAGCCCTCACTGCCTACGGCCGTCTCAAGGGGTGCAGAGGGGTGCTGAGATGGCACTGGCTCTGCCCACTCGCCAGGTGGCTGGCTCTTGGGCTTGTTGGAGGCACTGCGGTACCGCAGCTCCTTGAACGTTGTCACCTCTCTCTGCCTGGAGCTGGCAGGTCTGGCTGGCCAGTTGTGCTGGAGCTGGGGCCAGGCTGGCTCCTGGCCCACGGCACTGGAGAGGAGCTCACTGGGGGGTGGCAGCTCCGTGTCAGGTGAGAATACAATCAGCCAGTCGCTCCGGTCAGCCCTGGCCTGGGCAAGAGTGGGCCCAGCGGCGTTCCTCTTCCTCTTCTGGGCAAGCTCGTGAAAGGAGGTGATGGTCTTCTTGCCCGTGTCTCTGCAGAGGTCACCTGAGGCAGGCTCCGGCTCTGCTGGCCGTGCAGGCAAGAGCGGCTGCTGTGCTCTGTGCCCACTGAGAACCTGCAGCCATCTCCGGGGCCGGGGGGGCACAGGTGGGGGGAGGCTGCCAGCCCGGGGCTGCAGCTCAGGAGCTCTGCTCGGGCTGGGATCCCACCGTCCTGGTGCTGGCGGAGCTGGAGGCACAGCATCGGGGTCAGGGAGGGGGTTGCAGTTAGGGTCTAGGTCGGTGCAGATGCTGGTGGTCTCCTGTGCTGCCATGCTGGGAGAGGTCTCATCACACTGGGAGTCAAGCAAGCTGCTGCTGCAGAGGCTGTCCGGGCTCTCTCCAGCCAGGGTGTCTGGTCCCTGGAGCACCAGGGGGTTGAGGTTGGCATCTCTTCCATCACCTGTCCTACCCTGGTCAGCTAGTGACTTGCCATCCTGGGCATCTTCTATAGGACTGATGGTGGGCCGATTTTCAGGGGATTGGGACTCTTCTCTGGAGAACGCCTTGCAGTACACGGAGACTGGGGAGTCATCCAAGCTGAAATCCGAGCAGCTGCTGACAGAGGAGGAGGAGGAAGCCAGATCACAAGGGGCATCACAAGGGGAAGCCACCTCCTCCTCTCCAGCATGCAGGCAGGGGAAATCCTCTTGAGCTGCCTGGTTCTGGAGACCCAACGTCACCGGCTGCTGAGTGTGACACTCACAACACTGGCACTTCAAGGAGGGATTGTTAGAATTGGCATCCACTTGGTCATAGTTCTCCGGAGAGTCGCTGCAGCCAGTCTGGTCTCCTCCACCCATGGAGCCAGAGTTCTCTTGCAGCTCTGGGTGCCGGGAGAGGTGCAGCCCCAGGGAGATGTGCTGCAGATGGATGTGGTTGAGGTTACACAGTAGGCCTTTCTTCGGAGCCAGCATGATGCTGCCTCACTGGTAGTGCCAGGGCTCCTCAGAGAGCCCCACAGCTCCCCTCTTCAGACCATCCAGCTCCCTGCAAACATCAAACACACTTTCAGTTGGCAGGGGAGAACGCAGCAGCACAAACCTGGAGAGGAACAAACAGGGCAAGAGGGATGGCAGTGACCTTGCGGCAGCCACCGAGCAAGGAAGGGCCGGCTGCAGGGGACCAGCACAAGGGCCTGTGGGTTCAGAGACGGGAATACACCCAGCCGAGAGGGGCTGCCCCACAGCTCCCCACTGAACTCGGGCCTGTCCAGCCAGGGAGGGGCTGCAGCCAGTCGCTGGTGAGCCAGCGGCTGATCCGCGGAACACGACCTGAGCGTGGTCCAAGGAAGCTCCGGTCAGTCCAGACAGCTGCAGCGGCAGGGCTGAATTCCCTCTGCTGGGTCTCGAGGGTCGGGAGGGTCTCAGAGATGCCGTCAAGGAGTGAACGCCCTTGAAACCTCAGCCGGGGAGGTCCTGGCCAAGGGGGGATGGCACGGCCGGCCAAAGGGTCGGGTGAGGAGCCACTCGGCCTCGGAAACGCCACAGATATGGCAGCTGCTGCAGCCTGCCGCATCGTTTGGCCCTTCCCCTGTCGAGGGGAGAGCTCCGGCCCCGGGCATCTGCCGGCGGCCTCGGGCAGGGGCTGGGCAGCTCAGACCCCGGGGCGGCCCCGACCGGGCACCGAGCTCAGGTCCCGGGGCTGGAGGACCGGCGGGCCCCCGCGGCGGGAGCGGTGCTCCCGGGCTGCAGCTACCCCTTCCCCTCCCCATTG